TCGAAGGCTCTAGTGTTCCAATACCAGCCCCAACTGCAGAACACAGAAGCTAATCTTTTCTTTAGGGACTGACTTGGAACCATCAGTGTTCTTAGGACTGCCTGCTCTTTCTGTGTGTCTCTTTGCCGTGCATGTGTGTGTTAAGCTTGGCGGGGCAGAGGATCCCCTGTTTTTACTTGTTTGTGAAGAGCTGGACCCACAATGCTGCTGTATGAAGTAATAATAATTATAATCAGCCCCAGAGCTTAATGCATCTGGGTTCTGCAGGGAATGAGGGGAATTTAAGTTTGGACTCTTTTGTTGGGTTTATAAAATAGAGGCTCTCTTTCTGCTCTGTACTCCAAGTTCTTAGCTTCTATTGAGGCAAATGTTGGCTCCAGTTGTTTAACTGGCTTGTTGTTGTGTAACATACCCTACAGCTCTGCAGTGTGAACTGCTTTTTCCAGGACTATTGTTCTTTCTGTTTCCAAAGCCGTACGAGCAGTGGTAAATGCCAGTCTAAACCTGGCATAAGATGGGTGTTGTTCATTTCATCACAGCTGTCTTGGCCTGGTACCAGCACATGCTAGGCATGCGCATATGGAGCGCACTGCCACGAAACGCAGGAACGCTGAGCACAATAGTGGGCACCATCAAGAGTGTTGCCATGTAGCCAGAGTCTCCTAGCAGCTGCTGTTTTGGGGAAAACCCATACAGCAGTTAATGTTCTTCTCTCTCTGTTTGGACACATTGCTTTCTGAGGGGATAAGTGGAAAAGCCATTGACCAGCATTGGCAGCTGTGTTACTGATGATGTAATAAAGGACTATGCTTTATCTGACTGAGGCTTTATCCATATTCCTCTTGCCTCGAGTACCAACAAACATGGGTAGGTGTTGCTGGCGGATGGCTCAGTTCAGGGCCTTCGTGCTGGCCAGGCCATAACAACAGGCCTGTAAAGTTGGCAGTCACAGCTCCAGAGGAATTTCCACAATGTAGGGGGCTCCCCAGTGGTGTCATGGCTCTGTATCATCCCGCAGCCCCTGGTGTAGGGTGAGTGTCAAGAGCATTCCCCTGGGAATGGGGGCATGGCTGGAACACCACTGTATTCTGGCTACTCCCAGCCGCTGAAAGAGCCCCTGGGGCCCTAGATTGGTGCAAGCTTGGACCATGCTGAGGCTGCTGTAACCTGTGGCAGGCTAGCCAGCCCCAGAACATGGAAGACTCATAAGTGACCTAAAGCCACCTTTGCCTCCTCCTTATTCTGACATCCTGGGCTGAGTTAGTGATGAATTTCCACCCATTTTTCCCTTAAAGCCAGTAGTCGCTTCAATTGTTCCAACCTGCAGAAGGTGTCTCAAAACTCCTGGATCGATCCTATTTTATATGCTAAGATAAGCATCCCAGACCCATAGGGTTACAAGGGACCGCAAGAGTCATCAAGACTCCCTGCCAAGATGCAGGATTTGTTGGGTCTAAACCATCCAAGACAGATGGCTCCAGCCTCCTTTGGAAAACGTCCAGTGAAGGAGTTTGCATGACCTCCCAGGGCAGTCTGTTCCATTGTCCTACTGTTCTGTTGTCTTACAGTTAGGAAGTTATCAATAAGCTTTCTAAGCTGTGGTCAAAAAGAGCAACATTGGCACTAGATGCATCTTTACAGACATGAAGTGAAGGAGTGGGGAGGTACCTGCTGACTTTCCAAGGCTGTTTGAGTGGGGCAGACAGTGAGTTCTGTGCAAAAACTCTTAGCTACAGTAAAAGTTTGTAGTTATTGGTACTAATTCTTGTACAAAGTTTAAGGCTTCTATTACTGGGAGTATAGAAGATGTCTCCTAGTTTGATAAGCCTTGTTTGCCCTTATGTTTTTGGGTAATTATAGTTAGTGTGGGGGTCTAATCCTGATATTCCTTGTTCCAAAACCAGTTACTAGAGGTTGTAGGTCCAATAAAGTGAAAGGAGAAGAAAGGTAAAATGTATAAGCCTTGTAGACAGTTCCCAGGCCCATAAAACTTGCATTTTGCTGACAGTGAATGTATCAGTTGCAAGTGCAGTGGAAATAGCTGTGGAAACCATGCTTGTAGCATTATTGCTGAGGGTTGGCCAAATTTAGACCCGCTGTAAGTGGGTCCCTAGAAGTGCATCCATTGATACTAGGTCTGAATTTGGCTCAGTATGTTGGCACAGCTTGACGTTTTACATCAGGCAGCTTCAGACCATAACTCTTTTTACAAAGTGTTAATGGTGCTCGTTAGACTCATCACAGGGTTTGTCCGCACCACAGCCAGAGAGGTGTGCTTGCAGCAGGAGTAGATCTATCAGAACCAACTTTAGCTGGCTTGGGTACCGCTAGCAGTGATGGCATGGCAGCACAGACTTCAGCATGGGCTAGTTGTCCGAATACATACCCAGGATCCCGGGTGGGCTTGTTCATCCCATGCTGAAACCCATGCTGCTATTGGTACCTGATCTAGCTAGATTAAAACTATGTCTACACCTGCTACAGTCACACCCGTGATTGCAGTGCAGACGTACCCGAAGCACTATAGGTAAGCATTAAGCTGCAGCAGTACTGTGCCTTTAAGTGAACTGTCCTCAACATTATAATTAACTTCAATTCTGTCTAGTGAAAGAAGGATTGTAACCACTGAACAGGGCAGTTCTATGTACTCTACTGTAACAGCACGTATTAAATAAATGCTACTTTTTTGGAGGAAATTTTGTGTGCTCTCTTCTCCTTTTCAGAATATGCTAAAGCACAACTTGACTTCAAGAAGTCAGGGTTTCCCTGTGCCAAACTGCTCACACAGTCCCAGACGGCTTATTACTCCAGCAAATTAGCTTTCAAAGGCACTGTGCATCCTTACAAGACAACATCATGAGAAGATCGGCAGTGGGCTTTCGGACCCTCTGAAGGATTAGGGGATGTGATAGGGTTTTAATAATCAAGGCTAGAGAAGATGAAGGCATGGATGCTGTGGAGTGGAAGTAGTGACGTACGCAGCGCTGTTGAGGAAGTGTTGGTGAGCAGATAGGCGCACCCACAGATGTGTCGAGACAAGGAGCATTTCAGACTCAAGGGGGCGCAGAAGACTCTGAAGAATGAAGGAGACAGGACACATGGGGTTATGCTTTAGTATTTTCACCTGGCTGAAAAATCTTGAACCCAGAGAGTATCACGCAATTGATTCTCTGGCAAGATACCAAAATGGTGATGACACCAGTAGTGGTAAACTTGGGAACAAATATTTGGCACGCCCTCCGGCAAGTGCTCCCTGGGGGCAGCCCGTCACGATGCCGGGTGACCCTGGCGCCTTGTGCCGCTTGCGTCTGAAGCCTACTCTTCAAGAGGAGCTTGCCTCTGTTACCGTGAACCTGCCATTACTGGGTTATCAATATGAATTCCTGCTAATTTTAATAACAACTGTGCTACAGAGACACAAATATAGACAAACCCTGATATTCGTGCCAAACAGGGCCGGCTCCAGCATTTCTGCCGCCCCAAGGGAAAAAAAGAAAAAAAAATCCGCGATCGGCGGCGGCAATTGGAGGAAAAAAAACAAAACCCGCAATCGGCAGCAGTAGTTCAGTGGCAGGTCCTTCGCTCCTAGAGGGAGTGAGGGACCTGCCGCCCCCGAATTGCCGCAGGTGCCGCCCCTCTCCCTTGGCCGCCCCAAGCACCTGCTTGTTAAGCTGGTGCCTGGAGCCGGCCCTGATGCCAAACCCCAAGCAGAGCTTTCTGTCTCAGACCATGCACTGAAACCATCTCATGCCTCACCGATAACTTTGAAAAAATCTTGTATTTAGGAGCAATCCTGTTTACACAAGATATTTTCTGCATTGCTCCTTACATTATTAACATTTTAAAAGGAATTTATAGAGTGCCTTGAAAATATACGGGGCCTGTTTCACCACTGCATTACTCCAGTGTTGCAAGGCGGTTACAGTGGCTTAAACTGCAGTAGTGCAGTGCTAAATCACCCCAATTTTTAAGTTTATTTGCTCCAACTACTTATTCTTCATTGAAATCATAACCCCCGATTGCTCTGCACAGGGTTATAATCTCACAAATAAGGGATTATGGCCTTGAGGGAAGATGAACTAAAAAAAACCAGATTCTAGTTTTGTGTAAATGGCCCTGAAAATTATGGGAGGAGGGGAATGCAGATAAACGTTCTGCCACATACGCAGAATTCTTTCGAAATATAGGGCCAGATCCCCAGCTGCTGTGCACTGTCAGAGCTCCGTTGGCTTTCAAAGGCATCAATGGACGTTGTCAATCTTACTTCGGTGGAGCCGTCGGAGGCTCTGGCCCCAGATGTTTAAAGTTTCCCATATGAGATCGGTGGATCTTTAATATTCCCAGGTGACACTCGATCTTATTTATTTTAAAATAAATTTGGCATTGGAAATGCTTTGGGAGATGTGGTGCCAAGGCTATCCGTGAGCCTCTGCTTGCAGTAACTAGGTTTGCCTAAGTATGCTTTATTGCTTACAATTTGACCTGGAAGGAACTACTGTGCTCTTCAGTGGGACGTGGTTGCAAAACATTTCTGCTTCCATCTTCTCTTCAGGCATGTCTTTCTCTACAAGTGTGATTAGTGGAATGAGAACATTTTGATTGTGTTACCATGAACTATTATGTAACAGGCAAATGACTTACTCTCAACAGTCATAGTCACCAACTTTGGTCTACAAGATGCTGCCACACTGAAAGATTTTGTTGCTTAACAATAATAATCTTGGATCCTTTTAGTAAAAAAAAAAACACATTTTTTGTTCTGCTAAAGCAGCAGAGACGAAGATAAGACACACGTAGTGTGGGTTACTAATGACACATTTAGCAGTACACTTTAAATGTTCTTTGCCTTTCACATGGCTAATCTGATAGAACAAAAGGCTTAGGGTTGTTGTTGTTTTTTTTTTGCATTGTACGTAATTGTGTTCTACTGCATGTATCAGAAAAAGGTTGTCGAATATCAGATATACTATTTCTGAGGTATCTCTTGCTTCCTTTTCCAGACGACAGAATACTCAGCCATGGCATCATTAGCTGGCGGATTAGATGATATGAAGGCCAATTTAACAAGCCCTACTTCAGCAGAATTAGGAGCTAGTGTTCCAGGACCACAATCCTACCCTATCGTGACAGGTAAGACATCTTGGGAGCCTGATATATGTTGAAAAAGAATGAGTTTGTTGACCATCTGGGGGAAAAGCTGAATGGTATTTTGCTGCTCCTGGCCACTCACTGCCATTTATAAGAGAGACATAAACATAAGAAGTGTCACTATTCTTTTCAGAATAGAGCGAGACCAGTTTGCACCAGTGGAGGCTCTGGCCCTCCAAATCTAAACCCTGAGTACCAACATGTCACAAAAAGTGAGGAGTTGTCTCTGCTTTGGGTGTTGCAGGTTGTTTATCATGAAAGTGTTTGGCATTTGCGACTGGCCTGAATTTTGATGGCATTTCAGATCGGATTGAATTTCTGGTGCATCCGATCCCTCCAAATACAGATGCTTTGGACCACTTTTGGAATTCCACTCTTGCTGGAGGGTTTGGCATTTAAAAGAAGCAATGATTCATTATAGTAGCATTAAGTCAACTGTATTTGTGTAACAGTCATAGCCATTGAGAGGAGGTTAGGGACCAGCGGCCACTAGATTTTGATAACATTCGTCGAATGAGTCAGCTACATCACTTGGGACTAGACTGCACAAAATGCAATAGATTCTCAAAATATTTCCCGTAAGAATCACTCACGGCTTAGTACAGGAGCCTCTAGAACTCAAGGGTGTATTTTACCTACCCTTAAACTTTTTCTTTTGTTTTTTTCATGACACTTGGTGACAGTCCAAATTTCAGCCTCAGATTTTCCTCCATTTTGCCTACTGTGGAGTTTCATTTTGGCCCAGGTCCTCCAAGGATTTTAGGCACTAACTCCCATTGAAATCAATGTGAATTAGGTGCCTAAATACCATTGAAGATCTGGGCCTTAGCGGCTGAGCAGAATGTTGTGACGTATTTAGGCTGCTGCCATCTTGTCTTGAAAGCACGGCAGTCGTGCAGCGTCTGTGAACAATTTTGAAAACACAAGTTAATGCAGAGTTACTTCTGCGCAATGTAGAATCAACCTGGGGAACGTATTGCCCAGAGCTTAGCAGGATTCAAATAAGATCATATCATTATATGGTTAATGAGGAAATCCACACTTCTAGTAAGTAGGATATACCTATATATACACATATATATTGGCGGGACTATAAATCATCATGCTTCAGTACATAAGGCAAACACTGAGGGTACGTCTATACCCAGCCGCTAGTTCGGCGGCTGGCAATCGAACTTCTGGGTTCGACTTATCGCGTCTTGTCTGGACGCGATAAGTC